TCAGGTTCCTTGATGTCTCTGGTTTTGGTTTTCTCTTATGTAAAATCATAAGGATGATAGTGTCTGCTCACAATCTAGCTTTGATTAGGAAGTCTTTTCTAATGTTTTCTGTGATGTATTAATTTTTTTGTCATCGTTATTTTTATCATTATTTAATTATAGTTTGTAAATTCTGATAAAATGCCTGGGACACACCCATTGCATTGTGCGTGAAAGTGAGTGAATAGGTCATTGAGTTAGTGAAATGTAACTTTTACTGTTGCTATTTTCCTCTTCCTTGCAAAAAAATGTGAGAGATGTTAATCTTATTTTACAAGTCTCAATGCGATAGCACTTACTGCTACTCGAGTTCTGTTGCTTTCATGGTCAGTAAATTGAGGCTAGCAATTATAGAACAGTTTTATCATTATGGATTTTGGACCATTTCTTGTACAACTGAACACCTGCTGTGATTTTTTTTTAAATTATAGGGTTAATTGTTTGCTGTGTCACAAAGTGATGTTGGTAAACCACCCATGGCTATTTCTGTTATAGAAAAGACAAACACCTCACACATCTGTTGGCTGGAGTTTAGTAAAAAAATGCTACCTTTAAAGTTTAGTCAGGTTTTTCCACCTTAACAAAGGAATTGCAGTGGGATTGGAAATTCGAATCTTAAATAAGTTACTATGAGCTTGTATCTCTGATTATTATTTTAAATGTGTATCGGAGGTCATGGGTTATGGCCTGCTAAGTGTCTAAGGAAAATGTGTTTCAAACATTCTGTTCCTCCCCGGCTGAAATGGGAGGGAAAAGGATATTTGATAGGGAGTTCTTTTTTCCTCACGAGATGATTTATTGTACTGGTTCCACCTCTATCACTTTGTTGCAGCCTTTGTATTATACAAAGGTGGAGACATCATCCCCAAGGCTGTGTGAATGCTTTCACGTGAGGTCGAATTGAAAGCCCCATTTCTTACCCCACCTGTCACCATTTTTCCTTCCCTGTCATTCTATTCAATCCTATGCAATTAAGGATGATTAGGTGTTAAGATTAAGTAGAATTAGAATAAGCTAATTACTAATTACTCACACCCAAACTGTGAACTGAATAGATGCACTAGATATGAAGAATGTAAAAGCACCCTGTAGTGAAAAATATAATTACCCATGGCGGGAAGGTTGGGGGTGGAGTGTGGAACACAGACACAATGGCACCCAAAGTGTCTGGCTTCTAGAAACATGCAAATACACAGATATGTGCACATGAGCTGTATGAGCCTCACTGCACATAGCGGCTTGAGTCTTACTTAAGACACCTCATGGACTACTGGGATTGGTTAATAAACACCTCCAGGGACAATAATACTTGCTGGGTCTTTTTTTGAGAGAAATACCTTTTGGGCCAGCTTTTAGAAGACAAATGTAGTCTTTACCTAGAGAATTTTAAAGGCTTTGATGTTCATTTCTTGAGGAATATGCTGAAAATTAGGATTTTTAACTTTTTTTTTTTGCACACAACTAATTGGCACAGAGGTGGTACTTATTAAATACTTGTTGACAGATTCCTCCAGGAGGATTTATGAAAAAGAAACATCTTAAAAATTCAGACCACTTATATCCTTTTCTTTGACCTCATCATTTTGACAAATACCTTGCATTACCTTTCCTTTTAACAGAAATATCTTGAAAGACTTAGATTATTATTATTTTCAGTTTGACTAATTTTAGGAAAATCTAAAGCAAAATCTAAAAATTGTTTTCTTAATCCAATTGGGTAGCTGCACATTATGGGCAGTGTTCTCTCATCATATTATTTATATAAATAAGTAACAATAGGTAGTAAACGTGTGAGGATATTTTGATACAGTGATAATCTAAAAGGACTACATTTACATGATTATTTTTGAGATTCAAAAAATGGCTTTTTTTTTAAAGTGGTTAAAGTTGATTCTTTTTATTTGAAATGTGTCCATCTTTAACCTGTCCCCCCTTTGCAGCCTGCCCTCTTTTTCAGGTTAATTTATTCTTATGGGACTAGCTGTGTGACCTCAGTCTCAACATTTTTTGGTATATATTTTGGACATTTCCAGCAGTTAATTATAGGAATGAATCTTTGCTCAGCATTAAACCCAACATTAAACATTTTATTACCCTATTACTTTAATATAATCTTTTGTAAGTATCCTCCTTTCTTAGAAAGCTTGCAACTTCTATAAGCATTTGATTTTTCTTTTGCTCCCAGGCAAAAGGCATTAACATTTCACTTAAATATCTCATAAGGTTTCTTGTCTTTTAAGTGTTTTTTTTTTTTTTTAAAGGTAGCTATCAGATTGTCCTTGGGTCATCACAGGAGCAGATAGTCATACTCACACTGGATAGCAGGGATATGACAACTTTGTAAGATTGTGTCTCAAGACAAAATCTTGGTAAAAGAAGTTCTGTTTGAATATGAGAGTTCAGTTTTTATCACGTAGGGAGTCTATTTGAATCTGCCAGCTTGGCCCTTAAAAACATTTGCTTCAGTTCCCGGATGTTTCTGAGAACAGTTCCACCCTTCACCCAAACTCTTCTTTGAATATTAAACTAAGAGTATTATTTTAAGGAAGGGCTTTCTTAAAAAGATACCATAATATATTAGTATATATCTGTGTGACTATGTAATTTATAATATTTAGAATTAAAGATGGAAAGAATTGGACTCATTATTAAGAAATATCCAACCCTGTTCTTGCAGATGGTTGTGGAAACTGAGAAGTGCAGCATCTCCATGAAGATGGCGTCGCCCGAGGATGTCATTGACGTGCTGGCTCACATTGGCACCTGCCTGCGGAAGATATTTCCTGGCCTCTCTCCAGTGTGAGTTCCCCCGGAAGGGTGAGGAGAGCAAGGAACTTGTTCTTCCTCAAAATGGCAACTGGGAAACTGCCTTTCTCTTGCCCCTTCACTTACTTCCTCTTTCTGACTTCCTCCTTCTCTTAACCATTACATATCAAAACCCTAATCAAACCCTTGTGTTTGATGTGTGACATTTTCTATAATTCTGTGCCTTATTCTTGAGTGAATTTGAGTGATGAAAGGATTTGGTAATCTTTTAATTTCTACTCACAAGTCTAAACCAGGAACATTTTAAATATAATTTCAGTTCAGTTTCAGTTTTATCCTAGCCTGAATTTTACTCACAGTTATTAGCGGACTGCCAGGGGCTGAATGCTTTGTGTAAAGACATCAAATATAATGTTAATGGAAAGAGAGAACTCTTTATTTCCTTTGCTTTTTGCTTTTCAGTAAGAGGAAACCTAAACATATGAAACATAAAAATTAACTTTTTCATTGTCTTCTTAGTTTTTTGAAGTATACATTAGGGACATTACTAAATTTTGTCTGTCCATGCCGATATACATATATTTGGTTTGTTTGTTTGTTTTGTTTTGTGACAGGGTCTCCCTTGTTGCCTGGGCGAGAGTGTAGTGACACCATCATAGCTCACAGCAACCTCAAACTCCTAGGCTCAAGCGATCCTCCTACCTCAGTCTCCTAGTAGCTGAGACTATAGGAATGCACCACTATGCCTGGCTAATTTTTCTCTTTTTTGTAAAGATGGAGTCTCACTCTTGCTCAGGCTGATCTCAAACTCCTGACCTCAAGTGATCCTCCTACCTCGGCCTCTCAGAATGCTAGGATTACAGGCATGAACCACCTCACCCTGCCCCCTCATATTATTCGTTAAGCATTTTAAATCAGGATTATGTGCTTGGATATTAGAGTTTGTAGTTGGGGAGCATGTGGGCTGCTGGAATGGAGGAATTAGATTGGCTGAGGTGAAAGGCAGAGAGAGGCTTATGTCAGAACGTTTCCTAAGATAATAGTTGGTCATCAAAATTCCTTCCTGATGGAAGTACACAATACACAGATAGCAGAAACGCCCCCTCCCATCGTTCTGCCAGTGGTAGAGGTGTACACAGGGGAGGCTGGGATATCCGATATGGACTGTGTAGCATGGTTAGCTTTGCCCCTTGCTCAGTCAGGGGGGTGGGAGGGCAATTTTGGGGACTGTTACCCTTCATGGAACATGTCTTTACGATGTGTCACCTGCAAATTAAGAGGCAAAGCAGCAGGAAAACCTAGCCTAGCCTTCCAGTCTTCTGCATCTTTTTTTTGTCTTTTTGGAGACAGAATCTTGCTCTGTCATCCTGGGTAGATTACAGTGGCACGATCACAGCTCACTGCAACCTCAAACTTCTAGGCTCAAGTTGATCCTCCTGCCTCAGCCTCCTGAGTAGCTGGGACTACAGGCGTGCGCCACCACACACAGCTAATTTTTTCTATTTTTAGTGGAGACCGGGTCCTGCTCTTCATTAGGCTGGTCTCAAACTCCTGACCTCAAGCAATCCTCCTGCCTCAGCCTCTCAGAGTGCTAGAATTACAGGTGTGAGTCACTGTGCCTGGCCTCTTTTATATCTTCTAGGTGACTGAAAGTGGCTCTGTGGGGACAGGAACTCCCTTCCAATGTCTTTGGCCTTGGGAGGATTGCTTGGTTCCTTTCATGGATCTTCGCTGGGCTTTCTCCTTGTCTCACTTTGCAGGAGGTGACCCACCAGCACAAAGGGGTGGGCCCTGTATTTGCTGGCTGTTCATCTTTTGCACCCTCCTTTCTGAAGCTAAAGTCTTCTTGTGCTCCTCTGATTATGAGGGTGGCTGCTTACTGAGGGAACCAAGTGTCAGTGAAGTGAGGGGGCGAGTTGGGGTTGCCCTCTGACTCCTACCTGGTTAGCATGTCAGGTATGAGGTATCATAAAGGCAAGTCACATGCCCTGGTGTGTGTGGAGGAGAGGTGTGAGCCAGGGGGCCGGGGTGGTGGTGGTAGGATGAGGTGAGAAGCGGATCAGTAGTGGCAATGGGGAAATAGCCAGAAGTAAAACTTTTCTTGGGAATGGTTTCCACATCGTACTTAAAGCCACCAGAGAATTATCTGGGGTAATCGTGAGTTAGCAATAACTATAACCCATTTTCCTTAAACTGTATTTTAGTAATGTGACTTAGTACATGTGTTTCCTTATAATGTCTTCCCTTGCATTCCTAATTAACACAGATGAAATAAGAAAATTATTAAGCACAACTGTATTTAGCAAGAGCTTATAATACCCTGAGCTTTAAAGACATTTCAGAGCAATATTGAGAATCTCTCTTTTCTTTAAAATGCAGCTTTATTTGTTTAATATTCTAGGATTTTGGGGGGAATTACCAGTTTTATTTTCAGTTTGCATACTTCCATTTTTTCTTCCCAGAAAACATTGAGTAAAAATAGTGTTTTCACTTAGGTCTTCCAGTTAACTTCTTGTTAACATCCTCAGGCAAGTATTAAACAATAAGTATTAATTATCTCTGTTTCTCTAGAGATAGTCACTTCATATATGTTGATTTCTAAATCTGTGACCTCCCCTGTACCCAGATCTTCATCCTCACCTCCCAGCTGCCTGTTGGACATCTCCACAAGGATACCTCTAGCACCTTATACTCAGTATGTCCCCAACTGAACTCCTCACTTCTTTCCCTAAAACCTGCCCGTATTTAATATTCTGTCTGAATTAATAGGTTCATCATCATCATTCACATAGTCTAACAAGATAAAAGCTGAGCCATGTTCATCTCTTTTTTTGCTTGTTTTTTTAAGGAGACAGTGGTCTCACTCTGTTGCCCAGGCTGGAGTACAGTGGTGCTAACATAGCTCACTGCAACCTCAAACTCCTGGGCTCAAGTGATCCTCCTGCCTCAGCCTCCCAAGTAGCCAGGAGTACAGACACGCAACACCAGGCCTAGGTAATTTTTTAATTGTTTTGTAGAGATGAGGTCTCTCTGTTGCCCAGGCTGGTCTTGAACTCTTGGCCTAAAGTGATCCTTCGGCCTTGTCCTCCCAAAGTGCTGGTATTACAGGCATGAGCCATTGTGCCCGGCCAATCTCTTGGTCCTTACTCTTACATTAATTAGTTGCTATACTTTTTTCATACTATTTTAATATCTCTTGGTCTGATCCTTTCTCTTTTCCATTCCATTGCCTTAGTTCAGACTGTGTCACTTCCTCCAGTGCAACATCTTTCTAGCTAATCTCTCTGCCTCTAGTTCTCCTTGCAAGTGATCCTTTATACAGTCCTCAGAGTTATACTTCTATAATTCAAATAGTATCTGTTCCTTGCATGAGCTCTCTAACGGTTAGCCTTCCTGATGAAATCTAAATTGGATAGCCTGACACAGAAGTCCATTGCTTTCCTGCCCCATAATCCAGCTGTTCTTGTACTCTTTAGACTCTTTCATATTTTTAGCACCTTTCCATAGGCTGTAATCCTGACAAATTCCTACTCCAAAAGATATAACTCAGGTGTCTTCTCATCTGTGAAGAGTTTATTTATTCATGGTTCCATAGAACTTTGTGATCACTTCTTATATTAGCACATATCACATTGTGTTATAATTGTTTGTTTATTCATTTATACATTCAGGGAGTATTTCTTGAGTTCCTACTGTATGCTAGGCAGAGTGCTAAGTGTTGAGGTCCATGCCCACGTGGAACTTGCATTTTAAATTGGGGAAACAAACTTCCCAAAGAGGGAAATGCACAAATTCAGTAACTGTACATTGAGTAAGTGCTGAGATAGGACTAATATAAAACATAAACTTCTGTCTCCAAAGGCTTCCCTATGGCCATGGTAACTTGTACAGACCAAGAGGAAGAGAAGGAGCCTGTCATATAAAAATAGAAGCAAAGAATATTTTCTTCCCAGAGTCTTTGCTCATGCTATTTCTTCTTCCTAGAAAAGGGTTGATGTCTCTGAGGAACTGGCAGATAACCACAAAGTGGCTGGAGTAGAACAAAGAGCAAAGATGGGAGGGGATGAGGAATGGGGCAGGAGGAGGCTGGCACCAGGTCCTGGCCAGTTGACGTAGAGCCTCATGGTGAAGAGTTTGGAACTTAGTAGTCTTTCCCTGGGAAGCCACTATAGTCTTTTAAGCAGGAATGTGGCATGAATCCTTATATGGTTTATGAACATCATTTTTGCTACTAGGGAGAGTAGACTGGGAGGTGGCAAGAGCAGATGCAAAAAGCTAATTTGGACACTTACAGTGATCTAGGAAAGAGGTGATGGTGGCCAGGAGTGAGGCAATGGTGTTAGAGAGTAAGATAAGAGAGAAGGTAGATGTTAGCTTTATCGTGGACACAAGACTTGCTGATGGATTAGGTAGGTATGGGTGAGGGCAGAGAAGAAAGGGAGGAACCAAGAATGGCTCCTAGATTTCTGGTTTAATAACTTAGTGACTGATGTGACCTTTCACTGAGATGGAGAAGGCCTAGGGTTGGTGTGGGGATGAGTTTTTTTTTGGAAAATGCCCAGCCATTCTGTTTTAGGCATGTGCAATTTGAGCTCTAGGACATCTAGGCGGGGCTGTCAGGTGGGCAGTTATATATGTGATGTGGAGCTTGGAGGAGAGGTCTGGGGGTGGAGCAAAGGTGAGCACCAGGTGAGTAAATATGATCTTCGTAAAGATGGTCTTTAGTGCATGGCTGTTGGGGAGGTCACCTACAGAGAGATTTGGACCTGTGAGAGAAGGTGTCCTGGGAATGAGGCCAACATTTGGAAGTCAAGTAAAAGAGGAAGAGCTGCAAATAGAGTTGGGTGAGGACTGACTGTCGAGGTGAGAAGAAAACCAGCGTAAAACCAGGGCCTGGGAAGGAGTGGGTGGCTCTGCAGAATGATGCTGGGGGCGAACAAGCTGTGGGCAGAGAGGTATCCAGGGGACGGGCCGTGGAGGGCACGGGCAGCCTTGGTGAGAGCAGTTCTAGGGGTCTGGTTGGGAGGGGCAGA